TCGTTACTTTTTATTTTCCTTACACTATTATACATTAATCATTTGTACAAATAAATTCAAGTATTAAATTAATTAATATATATACTTTATCTTTAACTAAATATAGTATATTATAAAAGATATTACCCGAATCTACATTACCCAATAAACAAAAATTTACTTGAGTTGTATTAAAATCAAGATTTTTATACAAAATAATTAAACACGTAATTGCGCAGCTGCGAGACTTTTCGCTTCTGAGAAGAGTTATTACGGGTCAGAATCTTAATATTGTTAAAAAAAAATCAACATTATAAACATTAGATTATATATTTTATTACTTTTTTTTTTTTTTTTTTTATGTTTAATCTTTTTATTCAATATATAGTTATCAAAAATAAAATAAAATAAAAATATTATATAAAAACCGTGGTGGGACTACAAGTTCCCAAAAAACAACAAGCGTAATTATATTTTAAAATTATGATTTGTAGGTTTTGTTTTAAGAAATAAAATTCTTTAGGTTCTGATGTAAGAGCTCTTATCTTATCCCCTATATTTTTTAAAAACTTTAAAGTTCCACTTGGCATATGTCCAAGGGAAGAGATAACAATCGGTGTAAAAATATAATTTGTGAATTTGGAATATTTCATTGTTTTTTTTTCTCGGCTATATCAACCGGATTAGAATTTAAATTTTTTGGGAAAGAAGATACGCATGTGAAGTCCCAAATTAAGGATTTCCCTAAAGACCAAGGCACGGAAGTTAAGCCATCAGGTCTTAAGCCATCATCTAACGATAAATTTGTAGGCTCCAGGATGTTTGGTATTCGGGCCCTGGTAAGAGAACGGCTAATAGCTAAATTAATTGTTGCATGCCTTGCATGCCTGCCTTGACTATATATACAATTTAGACCATGTCTCCCTTTGGAGTCAACTAATGTTTTACATTTGATGCATGTATGTGGTTGAACAATATGTTACATCCAAGTCGATGGCCTATGGCAACTCTTAATTGTTCATCTGATAAGAGGTTACCTAGGTTACGACTTGGTAATGCTTCCAACCATTCATAACCACTAGTACAGTCAGCATTCTGTAATAGTTGAATATACTCCAAAGGGGGTTTGATGAGATTATTTTAAAAAAATTTTTAATTAAAGGTTCGAAAATAGATTGGTGTGTTAAGATCGTGGGTAAGACAGCTTCAGGTGGAGCTAAAGATACCCAGGTTGTCAAGGCTGAGTTTAAAAGGTTATCTTTAGGAGAGATAAAAGAAGATATCATGGCGTTATTCATCAAACGCGATGCCAAAAATGAGGAAAGAGATAGAAGGTTTAAAGGATATAAATCTAAACCACCCATTTTCGAGGGTAATTGTGAGAAACCCCAATTAAAATCTTCCAATTTAATATTTAAAATATTTTCTAATAAGCTTCTAAAAAATTCATGAACACGATTAATAATTTCATTATTTAAAAAAAAGAAGAAGAAGATCTAAAAATATGTACAATCTTTGGTAAAAATAAATATTTTTTTAAAAGAAAAAAGCTCTGGTGTGAAGGAATTTCGTTTAAAATAGTTTCAAGACCTGATAAGCCTTCGAAAAATTTTTCCACGAACACCTCACAGTTGGAAAAACTGCTTAAAGGTGAACCTAGAAGATTAATTTCACTTTTTTTGATGATTTTAAACCCTTGGACTTTGAGAGTATTTGAATTTAAAAAGCATATTTCCGATTTAGCTTTATTTAGAGTAAGGCCTATGTTTAGAGAATTCTTCTCTATATAATCTATCGCTGCAAGAATATTTTTAGAAGGTCCGCAAATGGTACCATCATCTAGATACCATATGTTTAAATCTAAATTAAAAGAGGATTTTAGACAATGAACTAGGTTATGTATACCTAAACTAAAGATCAGAGGGCCCAAAGGGTCTCCTTGTTGAATACCTTCGTCAGAAGGAATTGTATATTCCCCGAATTTGAGAGGGGTTCTACAGCCATAAAAGACTGTTCAATAAATCTTGCATAAACTGGGAATTTTTCATAAAAAATGTTCAAAAATGTTTTTCTGGATAAAGAATTAAAAGCATTTTTAAAATCAAGCTTACAGACTACGGCGTCTGGAGGAGGATCTTCGATATATATGCGAAGAGAGTGAGCGGCTATTTCGCATCCCCCTTTGGTACCAAAGCCTAGTTGATATGTTTGGAACATTTTTGAAGCATCAGGTTTGATGCGCTCAACGATTATCTTAGCTAAAAGTCTCCTAAAAAAAGACCCTATTGCAATTGGCCGAACTCCACCATCAGGCTTAGAAAAAGCAATTAATCTTGCGCCAAAAATAATTTGGTGAATTTGACTAGGTAAATCATTGTTCAATATATTTTCACTAAGTATTATCATTGAATTTACAAATGAATCTTGATAAGGATTTTTAGGGTTAATTAAAAATTGGAAATAAGAGGGGCGAAAACCGTCAATTCCCCCTGCAGAGTTTTTATTAAAAGATAAAACTGTTTTAATTTTAATTAATTCTTCCTTACCTATTTCGATTAAATTAGATTTTATAGAGATGGGAAGATCTTCAGGAAAAGCCTGAGGGTGCAATTCTTTTAATAAAGTAAAAGTATGTTCATCAAATGGAGCCAATTTATCATTAGATGAAGCTAATTTAAGAGCTCCACATACGTCCCCTTGGTCTATTTTTTTTGATATAATTTTACATTTATGGGCAAAATCAGGTGTAGCCCTTACATCAGGAACGTAATTTTCCATTTCTAAATCATAAAAATGGTCTATTTTATATTTTATACTCTCATGCAAAATAGTTTTTTTATTTTTATCTGTAGGTTTAATTAAGACTTTAAAAGGAAAGGTTAAAAGATTCTCCCAAGCTTTAAGGGAATTTAAATTTGAATTAACTTCCATAATAAGTGTTGTTAAAAAATTAGAAATTAAAGACCTTGATTTAAGGGGTAGGTGGATTAAGGTTGGTGGTTTTTCCCACTTTAAAAAATTATCATAAAAATCAGGATAAAAATAAATTTTGAATTACAATGGGGGTTGATTCAATTTTGTTGTACAAAATTTCATTTGAAGGGGGTTTACCAGAGTTTATACATGGTTTTGACCTGGGCCCATGTTTATAAAAACAAATAGCTTGGGTCAAGGTTATATTTCTATGGCAGGCATTACAAATGCTTGACATACCCATTTTAGAAGAATAAAAATAAAAAAAAGGAGAAGAGGGTAGGGGGTATGTATGAATGAATAACTTTTCTAAAATATTATTTAAAAAAAAAATAATTAAAAAAAAAATAAATAAATAAAAGTTATAAAATTAAATTGAAAATTTAAATTTTGTTGTATTAAGAATAATTGAGTAATGTTTAAATAAAAATTTATATTTTAAAAAATAAAATACAAACTAACTTAAAATCTATATTTTTGAAAAATATATATTAAAATTTGAGGTTTAGATGATTGTGGAATTTTGGAATGTTTAAAAATATTTTTAAAATCAAGTAGATAAATTAACTTAAAACTATATATGATTGAGAGATAAGTATTTTCATCATTGATTGAATCAAAGACATCTTGGTGGTATGTTAGTGTTGAGCAAGCCACAATGTTCTTGTATTAATGATTGTTGTGCAGGAATATCATTGATTGAGTCAAAGAAATCTTGGTGGTAAGTTGAAGCCACAATAAAGTTCTTGTATTATGATTGTTGTGCAGCAGTATCTATTTAAAACTATATTTGATTGAGATAAGTAATTTCATCGTTGATTGAATCAAAGAAATCTTGGTGGTAAGTTACTGTTGAGCAAGTCACTATAATGTTATAATATTAATGATTGTTGTGCAGCGATATATAAAATGGCGTGTAAGGGTTAGGTTAATATGTTTAAAGTCAAAGGGATTGCCAGATATTGGGAAGGATTAAAATACTAAAATACCAATGTCATTTAACAAGGTAGGAAGGAATTTTGGTTGAGATATGCTGATTGTTGTGTTAAAATTTCAGGTCGGAATATAAGAATCAAAATTTTGAGTAATTGGTTATATTTTTAAAATTATGTAGGTATGATAATAAATGAATGATTCATGTTGTTAATATAATTGTTTTGATTTCATATATAGCTATAGGAAGGATCCTAAAAATATTGGTTATTGCTAGTTTGGGAGAGAATGATCCAAGGACTGATTTTATTATTGCAGCTGTACAAACTTTTGTCTTTTAAAGAACTTTTGTGTTCCTGTAGTTTCTAAAAATTATTCTACTGCTAGCACTAAATGTAATAGAAATTTGATAAGTAATATAGTTAAATTTTAATTAATAATAAATGCTATTTCATTGACTTCACTTAATGGCAAAAATTAAATTGCATATGTTTTAAAAAAACATTAAAACTTATAAATAAATTAAAAATTTTTAAATGATATTTTCATATAAATTTTTATTAAATAAGGTTATATTACTTATAATTATAATATTGGAAAATCAAAATTATATATGTTTTTTCAGTGCATTTATTTATTATTCGAATTTTGTAAATTTATATATATGTATAACCAGTTGAGTAGATAAAAGGAACAAAAAATTTATATTAGTGATCAACTTCTTGAGTATAACGTAATATTTCTTTTTTTTGAAAGAAGTAACGTAATTATTACTATTTTTTTACAGAGATACAGGCTCCGTTATTTATTTCGAGTTGCCATTATGAATTTGTAACTAAATTAGCAAAAAGTAAATATTATTCTTGTTAAACGGCTCGCTGAAGATTTGGCTTACAGAAGGAAGAAAGGTCTAAAGGTATATTACAGAAATCTCGAACAGCTTAGGCAATATTTCTGGTTAAATATTGAGTTAGCGTTTAACAACACTGGTAAAATATAGAATGAAGATAATATTTTTTTTCTAGATGAGCTATATCTGTTTTATTAATTATAATATATTAATATGAACCTGAAAAATATAAGGTAAAATAAAAATGAACATATTTCATTATTTAAATTAATGAGCTGCTGCTATTTAACATAATTCTTTTTGTTTTAAAAAAATACATAAATAAGGGTTTTAATAAATCTATGAACAAATTTATAATATAAATTTTTTTATCATTACAGATATTATATAATATTTGACAATAAAATAGGGTTTAAAAAAAACTAAAAAAATAATATTAATTAATTTAAAAAGGTAAAATTATTATTTATAATTATATAAGCGCAAATTGTATATTTTATATTATATAATATATTTTGCAAATATAATTTTTTTATATATATATAAATTAGTACACAAACCCATTAGTTAATGTTTTTTTTTGAGTAGAATACAAATTGGTTTAAAATAAAAGTTTAATTTTTTTTGGTTCCCGCCATTATTGTGAATCCAATTTCAAAATTTCGTTCATTCCTTAAAATCTCTTTTCAACCTCCCAATTCTTGGTAGTAAGACACCACGCAGAGCAAACAATAAACCTAAATATTTGAGTTTAAATATAATTTGTTAATTTTAAAGAATATATTAAAAAGTTATTCGGAAAAATAAAAGTAAATGCAATTAAATATGGTTTAAAAAAAAAAAGATAATTCCAAAATTACACTAAATAAAAAAAAAATAAAGAGAAAAATCATTTAAAAAAAGTTATACTTATATTGCAAGGGACATTTAAAGCACATGAGATTTTAAACCCCTCGTTATCTGTGTGGTGAAGAAGATAAAATTCCATATGGCAACCCTTAATTAAGGCCGCATTCATAGTGGATCCAATTTAACAGCTGATCGATTTTAAATCGGTTTATGAGAATCAGATTTTAAAAAATCGATCAGCTGTTAAAAAGTGTCGGATTGGATCCACTATGAATGCGGCTATCAGAATTATATTTAAAACATAATACATAAATAAAACTTGTCTAACAACCATGATAATTATTTTAAAATTTGATCGAGCAATATAATAAAGTTTAAGAATTACTGAAAAAATCTAAAATTTTAATTTTCTATATTAAATATAAATTATTATAATAACACCAAATAATTCATAGTCTCTTTTATTAACATTTTTAAAACCATTATACTCTTTCTTTTTTTTTTGCATTGAAAATAAAGCATATGAAGTTGCCCAATTATCAGAAAAAACATTTTCTTTCTAATTCACCAATCAAAGTTTCTAGTAATATTGTTTAGTAAAAAAAAAAAAAATTATTAAGACGCTATTGAAGAAAAAAAGAACTTCCAGATAGAAAATATTTATAGAGTTTTATTGTTAATCTTCGCAATGCAATTAAAAAGTATGGTGGTGGGTGTATAACTCCACCTGGTATAACGAAGGGTTAATACAAGGCACATAAAAAATAGAAGATGATAGTAATTTATTTTAATTGGCTTACCAAAAAGAGAGCCACAATTATGTTGACGATGGCGCTAGCTAGGAAGCTGACCACACCGTGCTATAAAAAACATGAACATTAAAAATGTATACAAAATTATGTGTTCTATCTTATTAGATATAATATGTATGTGATGTGATAGTAGTTTAGTCAATTCAGGAACTATGCTCATATAACCCCCTACCCCTCAGGTTTTTAGTAAATAACATCTTTTTGAGAGATCTAATTTTACAGGAATCATATTTCAGCAGGTATGGAATACATATCTTGTGTCACAAATTTTTGTTAATTTTATGGTAAAAATTTTCGGAATTCCGATATAATTAGACCTTTCAAATTTTTGTTTAAAAAACAACCAGCGTTATACGGTGATTTAAGTTTGAATGATTTGCTAAAACGATATAACATATTAACTTATTTTTAATAAAATAATAGGAAATTTATATACATAACCCCCCCCCCCCTCCTCCAACATATGTTTTAGGCCAAACAAAGCAACTCTAAATTCTTTCATTTTAAAATTTAGAAATAGCGCCCAGTAAATAATTTATAATTAGAGATTTAGAATCCTTATGGGTTCCATGTGGAGTTAAAAGATATACATTTACAGGTTTTTTTAATTATCCATTTTCAAAATCAGAGAGACTCCTTTTTTTAAAAAAAACAAATGTATATTTACACAATTTAGAAAAAGTATAATAACCGATTAATAAGTTATAGTAACTGGGAAAAGGTATACTCACGTGAGGATTCGGAGTCTCAATTTTAAATCATCTGAAGATATTATCCAGCATGGTGTCTACCACCCTTCCATTTCATTTCAGACAATTTCACTAACCGATTTATAAAAAAAAGAACAAAAATCTTCTACGCATTCATGTAATATACAGATACGTTAAAATCGGATATTTCTAAATTTAGCGACCGCCCTCGTGAATGATTTTACAATTGAGATTTTAGAGACTCCGAAATATTAAATATATATATCTAATTTTTTTTTTTTAAAAAACCAACTAACCGCATTATATTCGTATGTTACATTATATATTATTAAACATTTTTATATAAAATGGAACAATAATTACCCCCAAAGCTAAGGTGGCAATCGATGAACATAGGACTATTATTATCATGAGCATTAGACTCACCATCCATGGTACAAAGTAACTCCGATTATTCTTTCATCAGATAATTCGAGTATATATAATAAAATAATATGTTAAAAGATAAAATTGTGCTTTAAGAGTCATTTAAGAATCAATGATAAAAAACACGGCAAAACTCAACTTTTAACAAACAAGCTATTAAGTAAACATCGGTTTATTTAAAAAATACAGCTTAATTATGAACGCGGGTAAATATAATAAATTACTGCCCGGTATCGTTCCGCCCTTATAATTAAGTATTTTATCGGTTAACTATTCACTAAATTTCGCTTAAGTTTAATATTTGTACACTCAAATATCTAATTGCTCAATTTATAAGTTTTTATAAAAAAGCAATTTGCGAAAATGGTTGTCAAAATAGCCCCTACAAATTTTAAGTTAGATAATTTATAATGGAATTAAAACATGGTAACCAAGATATTGCAATTTAACCATTCCCAATATCATAAGTTTCATAAATAGCTGGTTTGCTTAATTAAATGATTATACAAAATCTTATATCAGTTAGATGTGCAAATGTTATTTAAAAGATATGATTAGTGTTTTATTTTGAGAAGTATGTGATCCAATTTTTTAGCTTTAAGTTTCGTTTATAACAATATCTTATATATTAACATTATAAATTCGACTCCTTTGCAAATATATAAATTAATGTGAAGATTTACATTTTCATATTATTAATATATATTAACAAACATTGAAAGTCATAAACATATAATATCAATATTAACTGTAAAACAAATTCACTAATAATGCAAAATTTCATAAATAATAAATGTAAAACAATTTCATAAATTTTAAATGCAACAATTTCATCAATATTAAATGCAAAACAATTTTATAAATATTAAATGTAAAACAATTTTATAAATATTAAATGTAAAACAATTTTATTAATATTAGATGCAAAACAATTTCATAAATATTAAATACAAAACAATTTTATGAATATTAAATGCAAAACAATTATATAAATATAAAATGTAAAACAATTACTTCATATTAAATGCACAACAATTTCATCATTCAAAAAAGTACAGTGGGCAGGTATCATACCGACTACCGTCTTTACTATTTTTAAGTTATAATTAGGTATTTTGTCGTTTAGCTATTCGTTAAATTTCTCTTTAACTTATAATTAAAAATGCTCAAATATTTTAAGCTTAATAATCAAATTATATGCATTTATAAATATTATATTAAGATTCTTTAAAAATAATTAGAGTTCCTTCAAATATTTATTTAGCAATAACTGTGTCTGCCAATAACTAATTATACCTCTTAAAATAAAAAAAGATCCAAGTTAAAATGAATAATATTTTTATAATGTTTTTTAAAAATGTAGATCATACCTGAAATTTATATTAACAAATAATTGTAATTAGATTATAAATAATTAAGTCTAGTTCATGCATGATGTGTGTTATTCAGTCAATCAGGCCACTCTACTTTTTATGAATAATGAGTATTTAAATAGATGTAATTGTTTTACATTTGACATTTATAAAATTGTTTTGCATTTAATATTGCTGAAATTGTTGCATTTAAAATTTATGAAATTGTTTTACCATTTATGAAATTTTGTATTGGTGAATTTGTTTTACATTTAATATTGATAAAAGATTAAATTTCTTCATTTGTGTGATTATTTAATGAGATTATATGTGTAAGAATAAGTTTCAATGTTTGTTAATATATATTATTTTACTCTAAAATAATTCTTCACATTCATTCATAATTTGATATATAATTATAATATATTTGCAAAAGTCATTGTAAGTTTTTATTTTGTTTTAATTTTAATATATTATTTAATGTTACGAAAATGGAAAGTGAAGTATAATTTATAACATTAATATATGAGGAATTGTTATCAATGGAACTTAAAGCTAAAAAGTGAGAATATTAGATACCTATTTATCAACACTAGTGTCAATACTTCTCAAAATAAAACACTCATCATATCTTTTAAATAAAATTTATTAATCTTACTGATATAAGATTTTTTGTAATCAATTAAATTAATAGAGACTCAAAAATCTAAATAAGTAAGCCAGCTATTTATGAAACTTATGCATATCGAGAATGGTTAAATTGCAATATTTTGGTCACCATCTTCTAATTCCATCATAAATTCTCTCGCTTAAAATTTGTAGGGGCCATTCTGACAGCCATTTTTATCTTATTTGCCTCTTTAATTCTTTCTTAATAGTATTACTAAGCTGACCCAAACCCTTTTAGATATAATTCATTAAATATAAAAATGTCAATTTACCCGTCTAATACCCATTATCAGAAATATCGATGAGATGACCACGAATATGGCGAACAAAAGTTCCAAACCCCATCCAATATTGAAACCTTGCGTTATATTATTGTTTTTCAAAATTTGTTATTAATAATAATTCGTTTCGTATATTCGTAAGGTTTATTCGTTACTTCCTCATAAGTGTTGTTAAACGACCCGGTTTAGGTCGATTTTTAAAACCGGCCGACCCGGTTTAGGTCAATTTTTAAAACCGGCCGACCCGGTTAGGGTTTTAGCTATAAGAATATTATGTAATCCTGGAGATTGTGCTTATAGGTAGTGGTAGGAATGTTATCGCGGTTTACATCATATTATCTTGAAATGTTTGATCAGACCGTCCCAAATTTTTTTAATTTAAAATGTAAATAAGACCATTAATATAAACACAAACCTCTTATTCTATCAGGAGTCGTTCCGGCGTGAAGATAATCTATATTCTTCTTGTTCCATGCCGTCAAATAGTATATTCTGGATATGGCTTGTAGCAGGAAATAAATCTAAATATAAAAAGGAAACCTTATAAGTTAAGTAAAACTCGCATAATCAATAATTAATAACGTTTATAAAATATCTTCGAAGAAGCATTTGTATAAATGTTGGGATAAAGGGGTATCTTGAAAGGGATTAATCCTTAGTTGGATGGAACATATTCTGAAGAGGTTCTACAGACGAAAATTCTTGGTCTTGTGCTTTATAAGGAAAACGGTGCCTTTGCCGGCTTGAAGTATGCAAAAAATTCTCTTTCAGTTTTTATTAGCGTTGTTAAATTACCTAATCTGACCATCTCTATTGATGTTTAGTCATTAGCCTAAAAAATAGAATTAAGCCTCTAAGTTAAGTCTCAACTTGAATATTGATTAGAATATTTTTGAATAAAAACATGGCTACGGTATTATAGTTTACTAAAGTTATGTAGTTTATAAACACAAGTTTATATATTAGTTACTCTTTGGGGTTGATGGGTCATATATATAAACTTGGTGAATCATCATTAGGGTGAATCACATATCAGGGCACAAAAAATGGGTACAAGATAGGGAATGGGGAGAATAGAGGGAATTTCCCTTCTAGAGATGAAGAAAGAGCATTTTTTGGTTGGGAGTAGATTGTAATTGCTTGACTTAAGGATTACAACGCCAGATATTCAGGACCAGTTTGCCATGCCTCACTTCTCATGGAGGTAAAAAGGCAGGAATCTGAGGGAGTATGGAATTCAGAAAAAAAGAAGAGTTTTTATAGATGCGCGTGAAAGAAAGGAAGAAAGAAAGAAAGAAAGAAAGAAAGGAAGAAAGAAAGAAAGAGATAAAGAAAGCACTTTTCTATAATGATTTTAAAGCAATCGTAACATATCGAGTTGAGTCTTATTTTTTTATTTTATATTTAGCAATTGATTTTTGGAAACTCGACAAAATCTTCGAAAGCATCCCCCTCCGCCTGCCACCTACTGTCTGTTATGAATGCCAGTCATAAAAAAAACAGTTAGAAGTATGATTGAAAAAAAAAACAAAAAAAATATAATTGTAGTTTTATCTCAACCTTTTTTTTGAGATTATCATATTGGAATTTAAGAATAATCAAGCGCCATTTTTGTATTTTAATTAATATTCACATGTTACAATCTGTATAATAAACATAAATATTTAACGAATTTTGATTTTCATTTTCTTCTTTAAAAATATAAAATTGGATTGGAAAATAATTACCCCGGACCTATAAATTCCTTTATTGAGAATTGAATAAATGTAGATAAAAATTCCCCCTCAAATTTTGTAAAATAAAAAACAATTATTTTTTAGGTGGCAGATGAGATCTACTAGAGGCTTGCAAATCTGGAACTGAGTTTTCAACCTTTTGAACGTTAATGTCAAATGGTAGCCAATATGGAGGCCGGGTTATATAGATCAATGTATATATAATACCTAGACTGACGATTCATTCATTTAAGGTATACATCAATGCAAATCAGCTGAAGACGTCATCTTGGTTACATTCATCATTATTTAAAATTTTAAACGAGAAGCCTAATTTATTCCCATATCTGATGCAAAACTTTATTAATGAATTACCGGATCATGGAGATAATAAGGAATACAAGTTATCAATTTAATAGTTTTTAACATGAGAATAATTATTATATGTGTTTACCAAAATGGCGGGTCCAGCTGATTTGCTTTTTAACGACGCTTAAAAAATGAATTTTAATGAATGAATCGTCAGTCTAGGTTATTATATATGTCATAGAAAGAAAGAAAGAAAGAAAGAAAGAAAGAAAGAAAGAAAGAAAGAAAGAAAGAAAGAAAGAAAGAAAGAAAGAAAGAAAAGAAAGAAAGAAAAAAAGAAAGAAAGAAAGAAAAGAAAAGAAAGAAAGAAAACAAAGAAAGAATAAAAAAATTATCAAATGAAATTTTCGTGGTTTAGTAATATATATTACTTATAGAGATATTTTTTGGGGGAATTTTGAAGAATATTTTGTATAGGAAATTTAGTCACATTTTTTTTTGTTCCATTTCTGCGAAATTTATGTTCGCGAACTTAGAAAACGCTGTATCAATTTTTTTAACCACACTTAAGACATTTTTACCTCAGAGAGGAAAACTGAAGTTGTGTGGACTTAATTTGGATAATATCGTCATTAGCTTGTGGGGGGGGGAGAGATGGAGGTTGGGAGTAGATCTGTTATACCCTGCCTCTATATCTAACATATAGCAAAAAAATTAAGGAGAAACAAAAAAAACGTTAATTATTTTTGTTGAAAGTGTGAAATGTAATAGTGTCCCAAATAACGAAGCTAATAGTTCGAACCAATTTGAGAGTTTTAGATAAAAAAAAAAGAAGCAAACTATTTACGTTTTTGTTAATGTTTACAAATCCATTTGAAGTGCCTTTGTTTGCCAAAACGCTCAATTACATCGCGCTATAAAGGATTCTTTGGGTTCTTGCACATATTAGTTGTTATAATATATATCAGAGACATGCCGGATACTCGAGCCGAGCCGTAATTTAAATTTTTTAAATTTAACCGAACCGGGCAGTAAATGATACCTTTGCAGGTCTCTTATATAAATATTATTTCCAAGTTTTTTGCTTTCTTAAAATGATGGAGACACAAAAATAATAATTAAATTTTAGAGGATAAAATAACATGTATTTATACGTTTTTTTTTAAAATAAATTTTCGAAAAAGTTATGCTAAAAAAAAAAATTTGAAAATTTATTATAAATTACCATAATTTATGTATTTGAAGAAACGAAGCCAAAAAATCAGTTACACAAAAATATGTTAAACTTGGCTTTATTTTTTGTAATTTGTTTTTTTAAACAAGTTAGTGATGATGGTACTATGAAAAATTATCTTAATATTAATAAAATAATTATTTTCTTTCACCTTTTTGACTGGTAGAAATACGAATTAGTTAAAATATAAAAACTACATTTCAAATCTTTCATGTTCAAATTTTCTTTTAACCCCGTGTTTTTAAGTGACAGGTGTAGGCTCAGAGGTCACAAAATCTGGACAGTGAGGAACAGACCTTTTAACGGGGTCAGTCGCGTGGTTAAAAATATTTAAAAAAATATATGATTTCTGCTTTTTTTTGAAAAAATTTCTACGAATTTGGATATGGGGAAATTTAGTTCCTATTTTCATTTCCGGAAAAATTTTTATGCGAGGCATCAATGTCACATGGGATGCGACTTTTGAAGGATTTTTTGTTATTTATAGTTTCGAAGTTTCAGGCTACCCCTGATCAAAAGAAACTTAACCGATATATCATTTTTTAATAACAATTTTCAATCATTTTTAGGAAAAAATTTTGTCCGTAGATTATCATAATCCGGGGGAATTTTGGTCCAAACGCTAAAAAATTTAAAAATTAAAGCATTCTAATTTCCCATTATAAATTTCATATGTGAAAGCGAAGGCGTGTCAAAATTTTTCAAAAAAATGTTTGCTTCGAAATGAATTTCGCAGGTATATATTTTCTTTATATTTGTATTGGAAGAGAAGAGAAGAGAAGAGAAGAGAAGAGAAGAGAAGAGAAGAGAAGAGAAGAGAAGAGAAGAGAAGAGAAGAGAAGAGAAGAGAAGAGGAGAGAGAAATAAACTTCATTCTTTTTTAAAGCGATCTTGTTTATTTGAACTATATTTAGAACGATAATTAAAACACACCCAAATTTTAACCTTGAAATATCATTATTTAAAAAAAAAATAAAATTAATTTATTATTAGTTTTAAAATTATAATTCGCCAAGAATTTAAAATAAATCAAAATCCCAATTTTAGAATAATTAATTTATTATATATATGATATAATATATTCTATCTCATCTGATTCATCTTTTGCAGTATTTTTTAACATTTTTTTTAAATATTTATATTAATTAATATTAATTAAATAATAATATTATTTAAATTTTTAGAAAAATTATTATTAGTATATTTTTTATTTTCAGAACATATTTCACCTAAATAAACAAAAAAAACAAAAAGCTAGAATTTGAATTATTATTATAGATCAAAAAATCTATAAGTAGAGAATAATTTTTATGATTGCTAAAAATTAATTGGTAAAATGATATTAATTATTATATATTTTTTATTTAGATTATAAGTTATTGATTTTCTATTATTCTTATTTTCCAATTCCCTCGAATTTCTTGCTATTCCATCTTTCTACGTTCTTCCCCGCTTTGCAAAGTGGTTTGGAGAATTGATCTCAAAAATAAATAATAAACTCTACGAATCAAAGGAGGAATAAAAATAGTTGGGATACTTTTGAATTTGTTTAATAAAAAAAATTGAATAAATTTTTAATCTTTTATTTTTCTATTCTATTATATTCTTCTCCATTCATTTAATTTTTCTTTTTTCTTGTGCGTGCGTGAGAACTCTCCTGCAAAAAACCAGAATTATCTTGGAACCCTTTCTATACCTAAGATGACGTCACATTCTTGTCGAACTGTTATCTCCATGCACGCGCATGCGCATAAAATGTTTCCCTCAAAATTGAAATCAAATAACTATTATTATTATTATTATTTATATCGACGCCAATTATTAAAATTTAATATTTTATGGAGAGAAAAAAAGGCATAAGCGAGGAAGGTAAACATAAAAATCGCTTTTTAAGTTTTTGGCGCCAAGATATATTTTTACTCCTTCCGGAATATACCGATATTTTATCAAAAAATTAATCTGAATCATATAATATATTATAATTAGAAAATACAAACAATTTCATTAACCGTTAATATAAAAAAATATAATCAATAATTTTTATATATTTACGAAGGTGTTCTTTATTGGCAACAAAAATATTCGCTTTATGATACCCCCCCCCCCCCCCCCTTGATATATATTTTATATTTTAAAAGGTGAGAAAAAAAATTATGGAAATCCAATCTTGATAAATAAATAAATAAATAATATATTGGAGGGAAGAATAGATAAAAAAAAAAATCTTATCATGCCCCCCCCCCCTGGTATGATCCTATTGTAGATATTTTTCTTAAAAAAAAAGATTTTACGGCTTCCATCGTTCTTCCGCTTCTATAAGAGATATATTGGGCCAACAAGGAAATACAGCTGTCTAGTTATCCGCTCCCCAGGGAAAGTGAGAGAGAGTGAGAGTGAGGGAAAAATAAAATGGAAACGATAAAATCTATATAATAGCTTAAAGTGGGTGGTGATCGGGGTAGGTGTTCTACTGAATAGAATAAAACGGTTCAAGGCATTCCTTTTTTGCTTCTGTTTTTTTTGCTTCGATGCATTCACCTAAACCTACTTTCTATTAGACAATGTATCGTCTAAATCATTTCTTAAACTATATTAAATATTTAATGAATGTATTATGTTAGCGTCAAATACGTTTTTTTTCCCGGTAAAGTCTTATTTAAAAAAAAAAAAAATTAAATCATTTTTTGAGGGTGTTTTATTAAATTCATGTATTCCAGCATGTTTAGAAATACCCATCTTTATGAATTGTAGATAATTTTGATGTTAAACCTTTGAGTCATTCGGGTTCAGGAAATTTAAAATTGTTTGGTTAGATATTTTGAAAGCACAGAGTAAACAGATACCGATTTTAGGACAACTCATTATACCCGGGGTAAAATGAACCTGGGGCAGGTCCGGACCCCTCTTAGGAAATCGGTTTCGATTAAGTTCCCGTTATCAAAATTTCCATTAAATGAAATTTAAAAATTCTTGAATTCGGGTTCGGTTTCACATCTCTGGAAAAAAAATAAAACATTGCGCCGGAAAAAAACTCATAGACGTTAACGCATACAATAAAACATTACGTCATTGTGTTTTTACCAAGGTAATGATCGCGGATATCATACTCCCCTGCCTCAGGGAGAAGCACAAACAACAGGATTTGAGAATGGCCATGTCAGTTTTTTTGTCTTACGAGTATCTGTTTTTTTTAACTGGAATAAAAAATAAAATATAATTAAAATTTTCATTCTTTCTTTCTTTCTTTCATTCTTTCTTTCTTTCTTTCTTTCTTTCTTTCTTTCTTTCTTTCTTTCTTTCTTTCTTTCTTTCTTTCTTTCTATCTTTCTATCTTTCTTTCTTTCTTTCTTTCTTTCTAGACCATTCGTTCAAATTACTTCAATGTAAAAAAAATATTTATTTTTTTAATACGAAACGACATTTAATCTAAAAAGTAAAGGTTATTTGTGCTAAAGGACGTTATTTTTTATTTATATAAATGACTTTTTCAAGATTAAATTTATTATTATTTAAACACATTTTTTACCATTATTATTATGTATTTAATTTTATTTTTTTACTTTCTTACTTTCATTCTTTTTTTTTTTATTTAATCTCCTTTGTATTTTATTTTTTGTCTTCTTTTAAATTGATTATGTAAAATTAGGTAAAAGTAAATTAATAAATCAGAAATACGTATATTGTTAATAATAAATATCATAAATATTGTCATAAATATTAATAAATATGCCTAAAGTGGAGTATGCTTAAAATAAAATTCAACAGTTAAGCATTCTTTCTCAGAGGGGTAAGTGTTTGGACAAAGTGTTAACGGGCACTTAATGGATACCGCCTATATTTTTTTCAGCCTCGGGGTGGTGGGGCACTCATGGAACCAAAAAAGTGTAAATATTATGATAAATGCAAATTTAGAATTAATCAATTTATTTACATATTTTTTTTTTAAAGTCTAAACGTTTTTCTAAAGGAAATAAGGGAGGTAAGAAAATTAATGGAGTTCTAACTATTTACTGAAGGAGGACCAATCTCTTCGCATTTTACATAACACTGCTATGGCCGTAAACAGGAAATCGTGTTAGCGAATAAATTTTCAGCTGTAGTGTGTATTTTCTTCTTTTTTTAAAGAATTTCATAAAACCATTCTTACTACTCGTTAGTTGTTCACCAGAATTGAACTGATGGATGTACCAGCGTATGCCTTGAAACCTCAACCTTCAATATACAATCAACGGAAAGAAGAGATGCTCAGTGGATCAAGAAGCTCTACCATTGTGCCACCAATTTCAGAGGAGTCGAAAAATAGTAATATAAGAATATGCGGCAACAAACCATGGCCGCCAATAGGATTTTTTAGAAAAGTCTAGGATTAAAAAGAATATCGCCTGAACCTGGGCCACAAAGTTTTAGGAAAAAAGAAAATACTTAGCAGAAAAAAAGGCAATATGTAGTTTTAAAATATTCCACCCCTTTAATTATCAATCCACAAAAAACTATTTTTTTGTATACTAATAGAAAAGTTAAAATTTTCAAAACAGCTATTTTACCAGATTGTTGTGGTCCTTGCATTCTATGTGAGGTAATGGAGCATATTGCAAGATTATATGCTGGGAAGAAATTTAATATGCTAAGGCTCCAAACCCGTTTCCCATTTCATCATATATATCGATAAAAATAGGATTTAAAATAGCACAATAGATAGCTATGTGGAAGTAGATTGCAGAGCGTTTTTTTTATTATAAGGATAGGAAAATCTCAGAGGTTTCCACATGGTAGATTTATAACTTTTATCAGTTAAATAAGTGTAATTAAACAAATTATTATATTATTCTTCGCAAATATAAACACCATCATAACAAAAGCTGAACTGTAAATTTATAATTTTTATTGATTTGCGAATTTAGGAAATTTAATTTTGATGATTAATAAAAGCTTTATTCCAAAAATTTTGTTCAAATTGATTTTGTTTTTAATAATAAATAAAATAAAATAATTGGGCTAATAAAAATTAAGTTTATAAATAATTTTTAATTAGAATAAAGTTTATAATAAATTTGTCACTTTTAATTAGAATTAATAAGTATAAGTTTGTCATTTTTTAATTATATAATAAGTTTTTTTTTTAAACAATATAGAAGAAGATTATTAAAGAAAAAAAATATAATCTTATCTATATTATACAAAATATATTAAAATAATTGTTTTATTTTGAATTAATTTATGAATAAAATTGATAATAAACAAATAAAATAATTATATATAATAACCTACATTTTACATAAATATATGATTGATTTATTGAACCGCCTTTCGAGTGTGGGGAAAGATTAAATAATGAATTCCAAATAAGGATTATTGTATTCCTCCCAAAACACATGTTTTTTTTAAAAAAAATTAAATTTCTTCTCTCTTTTTTGTTTGTAAGTGTGTTGTTTAAACGGTTCAGACACTCAACATTATAGCAGGAAAAAAATAATGCCTACGCGTCGATATTTTGATAATAGATGTTCAATCCTATGTGCCATCTAAGAGGAATAAAAGCTTGCATAAAAAATTTTCTGGATATTATATTGAGTTTTGCGGCGCCTAACAACATTTGTAGGAGAAGAGAGAAGAGAAGAGAAGAGTTGTGGTTTAAGCTTTTTTTAGGAGAAACTGGACGAAAATAGAAAATGAAATCGGTGACCATTTAAAATCTTACTTTTATCTTAGGATCTCTTAAAGAGAATAAAATCCATCCAAAATTAAGCCACAAATTAGCAAATAAAAAAAAAGAGGATACATAAACTAAATATTTGACGGTTCCTAATAAAAATATTCTAATTTCTGAGCTGGAAGCTGATAAACTTTACAATCTTATGAATTGGGATCAAAAGTTTTTTTTTTTTAAAGATTATGACTTCTTGGGGTGGAAATGGTTTATGAAAAAAAAAATTATAAATGATTTTTTAATGGTTATTTATAGGTGAGTAGTAATGTTGTTAAAAAAGTCGAATTGTAGGGTTATAACTAAAATAAAGGTTAGGTTAAATCCTAAAGTTTTTTACGCGTAGCTGACAGAAACGCTCGGACATCTTATCAGCCAAATCTCGACGCTTACATAGTAATATTTCGAGATAAAATCCGTTTTGAAAAATCGACGCAAATCGCGTTTATTAACAAATAATAAATATTTTTTTTACCTTTAGATTTATAATTTTTTCTCTTCTTCTTTTTACCTCAGAATTTTTATCTTAATATCAAATATAAAATAAAATATTTACGAGAAATATTTATTTATTTTTTATAAAAGAAAGTAATTAATAATTTGCCAAAATAAATCAATATTTAATATTTAATTTTGTTTTAAAAATTATTATTTTAATAAATAAATTTATTATTATTTTTCTTTTAAAAAATAGTATTTTTAAAAAATTTAAAAAATAATATTGACATTTTTTTAAATTTGCGACGAAATTGAAATTAATATAGTTCAAGGTTTATATAAAATTTAATGTTATTACATAATTACGACATTTTGAAATGAAATAAATCATTTTTTAATATACTTTAATAAATGAATTTTTATTTTCCTCTGATTTTCCTAGTTTTTTCCTTTCTTAAAATAATAAATAATATTTTTTTTGGCATAACGAACATCTAAAAATTAATACATTAACAAAAGGTTTCGTTCCAACTTAATAAATCAATTTTTTTAAAACTATTCTGGTTATTAAAGGTATTATTTAAAAAAAAAAGAAGTAAGAAGATTATTTCTCCTCACCCTGTTTTGATTCCATTTTTTTTCCTCCGATCCCATCAGTGCCATTTTTTCTTTCTCATAGTTTTTGGGTTACCTGGTTATAGGATAAATTTATGCAGTTGTCATTAGAATCCTCTAACACTCCCGGAGGTACGATATAATTGCGACATATACGTTTCACTCACCCAGATCGCCTTAAAATTGTTAAAAATTAAAAAAAAAAATTTTTTTTTTATTTTTTCGCATTTTAATTCCCTTTGGAAAGTAAAAATAATAATAATAAAATTAAGTATAATTAGTGTGTTGGTGTTTTACCAAGTTTTTTGATAAAATATTTCTGGCTCACTCAATGTTGGTAAACGGCCACCCAGAAAAATATTACCCAAATCTGAAGATTTTACTCATACAAGGAACAAAGGTCTAGAAGTATATTGTCAAAATCTAGGGGTTTAGGCAATATCTTTCTGGATAAACTATTGAGTTAGCCTAAAGAATCGGCTTAAAACGAGCTACAACACCACCCACTTGGGGCCCATATGCATGATTTTAAATCTGACTTTAAATTATCCCAACTAATATACGAAGTCGCATTTTCACCACAAAAAAAAACATATATGCCGTTAAATTCGATAAGCCTTTTATTTTATTTAAAAAAATTACATAATTATATTAATATGTACTAGCGTAAGAATATTTTTTTTTATATATAATGTATTAGAGATCTACAAAGTTATTTAAAATAATCGAGTTCCGGCCAGGGCGGATATTTAAAAAAAAAATTCGGGTCGAGTCGGGTCGGACCTTGGAATTTTTTTTAAATATATCTAAATTTATCAATTTTATATTGAATTTTTTATCACTATTATGTATTATATTATTATCATTTAAAAAAAAAACACTAATAAAAAATCTTTTTTAAAAATTCTTTCTTTCTTTCTTTCTTTCTTTCTTTCTTTCTTTCTTTCTTTCTTTCTTTCTTTCTTTCTTTCTTTCTGGATGAAATATTGAGTTAAACCTTTTTAAAAAATCGACTCAAGACTGGCCATTTAACAATATATCCTACCCCCCCCCCCCCAATTTTAACCATATCCGGTTTAGACGGCTCCACAACCCCCCCTCCAAAATAAAAACTGCTTAGCGGTTCTAAAATGAGATTTTAGCTTAGAAAATCTTCTGTAAGAAAAGTCTTCGCCAGAACCGATTTACTTAAACACGAATTCTATTATAACAACCATCATCCTAATTTTTTTAATAATTAATTGCTTTTTTAAACAAAAATAAAATAGTTTAAAATTAAAATTTCATTTTATTTTTCTTACAGGTAATATTAATAATACGCAACGCTGGTCGGCAAATGATTTATTTTTATCCCCATTTATTTTCTTTTGTGTCATAAATATAAAATTATATTAATTTATTTATATCAATTTATAAATAGAAATCAGCTGAATAACGGTTATTTAATCAAATTTTATATCAAATTAATTTTTTTATATTTTGTAAAATATAATATATGGGTATTGGGGGAAGGGGGTGGGGAGTGTATTTAAAATAAGATAGTTATTATATGAAATTATAAAACACCCCAAAAATCTATTCTTTGCTCCTCTATTTGAAATATCTGGTTCCCCGTTGAAAACGTTGGCGAAAATGGAATTAGCTAGGAATCATCTCAATCCCCGAAGCTCCATAATCCGCCTCGACTACTTATCTTGTCTTCTGTAGTCCCATTTCACCAGTTCGTAGAAAAAAAAGCCAAAAAAACGTTTTCAAAATAGAAATAAAGATATCCTCTAGAAAAGAGCTACTAAAAAAAATTAAGTTTGGGTTTAGGAAAAAAATTGTTTAATTATTTTGTAAAAAATATTTTACACGCTTATAGAGGTCGGAGCGGAAGACCCTTTAAAAGACGCCCCGCCCCCCCCCCCCAAAAAAAACATTTTTCGCTGTCCTTATTTTTTAAGAAATCCGCCTCATTTTATTCTTTTTTACACGGTGCTACCAAATCGCACAAAAAAAATGTACATATTAACGTTAAGACTAATCATCAAGCTAATTAGCCCTGTGAATTCGCTGTGGGCAAGTTGGCGAAAAATTTTTTTATAATAAGATCTTCCAAGTTTGGTGAGATCCAACATATCTTCTAATACATGATTCGGCCAGCCACCCCCCCCCCCTCTTATTTTAAAATAAGTTCTGATAAATTTTATTAAAATCATTAAAAGCGATGCATTTTTAAAAATAAATTAAAATTTTTATTAAAATATTTTCTCAATTTCGATTATGACATTGGTAGGTAAACAAATTTTGAAAAGAAAAAAAAAATTAATAAAAATAAAAATAAAATTTTTGCAAAAAATATTTCAAGGTAAATTACATATTTAATATATACTTTTATTACTCTCGTAAAAGTTTCAATTTTTTTTGGCTTTTCATTTTAATACCTTAAAAATATAAGTTAAATATTATACCTATTTTTTATTATTATTATAAATATCTAGTCCATTAATTTGTTCCTTTTTTATTTTTATTTGTTTTTATTAATATATATACACAAATATTTATTATTTTCATAATTATATTTTCTAAATATTTTTTTTAAAAAAGCATATATTATTGAAACTTTTCCAAAAAATTTATCGCGACCAAAATTTATTTGATTATTATCGAGAGTTATTAAAAGTCTAATTATAAAAATGTGTGTGGTATCTGACTAAAATATACACTTTTCTAAAAATGTATCTGTAGTTCGTTACTTTTTTAGAAAGTTTCTATTTTATTTTTTTTTAAATTACATTTTTTTTGAATTTAATTTTTATTTTACCTTTTTTTTTATATATATATTAAAAAATAATTATTATTTGAAATTAAATTTATTTAATAATAGGTCCCAGTTTATTTAATTACAAAAAAAACAAACCAGACAAATTTGAATTTTACTTTAATGGATGACGACAATACGGTAAATTATATTTTATAATTTATTTAAAAAAAATAAATATATATAATAATTTTTTAGACCAATATATATAGACAATCTCTAAAAGAAAGTCAAATAATTTAATATTAGAGATTTTTTTTTTCGTTTTTACTTACAAATTTTGAATTATTTTATTTTTTTTAAAAATAAATGTTGGGATTTTAGTATATTTACCAATATAACTTAGTTATTTATTAAGTATAACAATCTATCTGACATCAAGTATTCTGGTAGCAAAAGTTTAATGTGGCTAAAATTTTTTATAGATAAACGGATATTGCATTATTCACACCTCATATAAGTATAATAGAAGTTGTATTTGTATCTTGATACATTTATAAAAATATGTCTATATCTAGGTACGTTTTTAAAGTTTTTTGTCTATCTTTTATATTTGTTGTTAAATTTATAGATGAAATGAAAGAGGCCCGATAATTAATGTTTACAATTTCTAATGTAATGAATATAATCATATCAGCTCTTTCGAAATTAATACATCTGTTAAAAGAAACTATTTTATCAAAATGCGACTGCGTAAAATACATGTAAAAATGGAAACTACAACAAGATCCATATTTTACAATTGTATCTGTAATTTAGATCCGTTTGAAAAGTATCTTTTAACAACTAGTTATAACTCAATAAAATAAAAAAATTTTATGGTTGGGTGGTGTTACCGCTATAACGGCAGTGATAAGAAAGTAAGAACGCTGAAAGAAAAATAAATTGTATCTTATTTTTTAGGTTTAATTTTTTTTTTTAAATATAAATAATATGATGGTCAATCGTGATTGATCATTTTTACTATATCCTATCTATAGTAAAAAAAGCTATAAAGAAACGTTACAATTTTTTAAAAAAAATACAAGTAATGGCATTAGCGTACTTCAAAACAAGTTAACGAATAATGTTAATACTATATATTTATTTTTTGTATAATCCGCCTATTACTCTTTACTAAAGATTTTACTAAACTATTTTTTAAAATTATTAATATTTGTTTAAGTTTTTAAATTTATTTTCTAAAATATAATACATATTAAAAAGAAATTTATATAATTCACTGGTTTGACTAAACTAATGCGTAGGCAAGCTGTAAAGGACAAGCTAAACTGCAAATGCTTAGGTAAAAAAAATTTTTTTTAACATAACAAAATGAATCTTACTTCAATTAATAAGAATATGTATCAAAATTTTTTACGTGAGCATTTGCAGTGTTTACCTAAGCATTTGAACTTTAGCCAAACCCAAATATATATATAAATGCAAAACAGAGTTTTAAATAAAATATATATTTTTTTTTTGATTTGCGTTTTATCTCATATCATTCTACTTGTCATGTTAACCACTTTTATTAGTCACATAGTAGGGTCTTTTTTTGGAAGAATAATATTTTATTTCTAAAAACGGAAATAAAAAGTACTAGAATAACCTTAGAAACAAATAGACTAAACCGTGAAAGTTCTAATATTCCGAATTTTCCATTGTCAACACTCCTGGAATTTATATTGTTTGGGAGAAGGACTCAACTATGTGAATTTAAAAAGCTATATTTTGTGTGGTAATCGGTGTTGCGATAATTAGGAATGGTATTATTAGTTTTGTTTATATAAATAACTT